AGAAGAAGAAGAAGAAGAAGAAGAAGAAGAAGAAGAAGAAGAAGAAGAAGAAGAAGAAGAAGAAGAAGAAGAAGAAGAAGAAGAAGAAGAAATCATCTAAGAAATCCAAGAAGCAAAGGACATGCTTTTGTAGAACTACAACCCCACTTTGTCTTATGAAAGACTGATCTACATATCCAGCAAAATCATGAAATATACCAGTTGGAGCTACAGATGGAGAGTTATATTTTTGAAGAGTCTTCTTATCCCCAATGTCATGCATTTGTCTACAACTCACATTATTCTCAAGCCAGTATCAACATATTGGGTGAAGATGATAGGATCTACACAAGGGATTAGCCTCAAGATTCTCAATGCCCCCTTTCAACTCTGTGATTCAGTAAACTTACCATCTGAACAGTCGGCACCTACGTAGCCTTCTTCACAGACACATCGCCCATCTACACAGCGACCAAGATCATTGCAGTTGTTGGGGCAGGACTGTTCACCACAGGCAGGGCCTTGATATCCTTCATCACACAGACACACCCCGTCAATGCATTGTCCTCTATTGTTGCAGTCGTCGGGGCATTTCCTTTGGCCACAGTCCACGCCGGTGAATCCCTCATCGCATACACACTGTCCATTCACACAACGGCCTTGGTTGTTGCAGTTGTTGATGCAAGCTAGTTCCCCACAATCCTCACCAAGGAAGCCTTCGTTGCATTCACAGACCCCATTGACACAGCGGCCACGTTGGTTGCAGTCCTGGGGACAAGTCTGTTCAGAACAGTCTTCAGCTGTGTAGCCTTCATCACATACACATTGCCCATCAATGCAGCGTCCATGGCCATTACAGTCATTGGGGCACCGCAGTTCATTGCAATCAACCCCAGTGAAAGCTTCATCACATACACACTGGCCATCAACACATTTGCCCCGATTGTGGCAATCATTGGGACACCTGCGCTTGCCACAATCCTCACCCACAAAGCCTTCATCACATATACATTGCCCATTGATGCACCGGCCCTGATTGTGACAGTCATGGAGGCATTTTAGATCTCCACAATCCTCCCCCATGTAACCTTCATCACATTCACATTTCCCATGAACACACCGGCCATGGTTATTGCAGTCTTTGGGGCATCTTAGTTCACTACAGTCCTCCCCCATGAAAGCTTCATCACACACACACTGGCCATTCACACACTGCCCCTGATTGTGGCAGTCATTGAGACACCTCACTTCCCCACAGTCTGGCCCCATGAAACCTTCATTGCACAAACATTGCCCATCAATGCAGCGTCCCTGTTTGTGACAATCATTGGGACACCTCCGTAAAGAGCAGTCATCTCCAGTGAACCCTTCATTGCACACACACACACCATTCTCACAGCTACCATTATGGTGACAATCATTTGGACAGGACAGGTCCCCACAGTCCTCACCAGTGAACCCAGTTTCACAGTAGCAGGTGCCATTGATGCAACGACCCCGGTCATAGCAATCATTGGGGCAAATGAGCTCACCACAGTCTTCACCGGTGTAGCCTTCATCACACACACACTCTTCTTCTACACAGCGCCCCCGATTATTGCAGTTGTTAAGGCAAAGGGATTGGCTGCAGTCCACCCCAGTGAAACCATCCATGCAGATACATTGCCCATTCACACACTTCCCATGCTCACTGCAGGGCACCAAACAGACCTCAAGGCTGCAGTCATCCCCAGCATAACCATCAAAGCACACACATTTCCCATCGACACATTTGCCTTGATCGTTGCAATCCCCAGGACATGCCAGCTCCCCACAATCATTGCCAGTGTAACCATAATCACAGACACACTGGCCATTGATGCACTGGCCCCTGTCATTGCAGTTCTGTGGGCATTCTGGTTCGGAGCAATTTGGTCCTTTCCAGCCGCGTTCACAGATGCAGCCACAGATATCATTGCTGTAGTTGCCTCGTCCACTGCAGTAGGGGGTAGCATCAACGGGACCTGTCCGAATAAAGCAGGGAAGCATGTTATCTCCAAAGAGTGCCAAAGAATGTGTGGGTCAAAGAACGACCCTTTCCTCTGTTTCGATTTTCCAGTGGCCTTTGTACTCCATCTTCCTGAGAACATGCGTCATTGATCAGCTCAGGGAAAGACCCAACAATTGCCTAACCAACTTTATACAGCTATGTTGGCTAGTGTTAATGCTGACTATTTGTGGGGCAAACCCAGCCTTTTAAACTAGATTATAATTCAATGATGTTTGCAAACCCAGAAAATGGGATTATTAAATATGACAATTAAACCTGTTATATAGCCATCTCAGCAGGGGGCAACATCTGGCCATCCTTCACTGGGCTGAGAAAGCAGGGCTAGATCTGGCTTATTCTTGGACAGGAGATCACCAGGGAATCCTTGGGCTATGCGCTAGATTAGAAAGTTGAAAAAAAAAAAAACTATTGGAAGAAGGAGATAGAAGACTATTTTTACCAATAAAACCACCTGGAAGTCTCTATGGAATCACAAGGAACTGAGCTGAACTGGAAGGACACTTTTTTCCCCACACAGACTCAAGTGAGGAATTTCTTGTCTTCTGGGGCTAGATTTTATGTTTTGGGGAGGCTGGTGGCCCAGCAGATGGGGATGAAGCTGGGAAGTGGGTGGGATCAAGATTCTGTGTTTCCCCCCCTTGTTCTAGGGGATATATAATGGGTGTCATTGTTTTTACAAGCCATAATGCTCTATGAAGGTTTACACTAAAATGTCTTACAGATTCCCATCTCAAAAATATTAGGAAACTTGTAACAATGCACTGAGCATTTGCTATCCACCCACCCCCTTCTTGTATTTATAACCAGGTGAACCATTTATTTCCCTATAAGGCTTTTCATAAGGTACAAATCACATTAGTAAATGTGCACAAACTCAGCACAACAGAGAATGATAGCTGGGCACAGAAAATTATGGGTGAAATTAATTTTTTTACACGGGCCTTACTAAATTAGAAATTCCACCATAAACAGGTAAGAAATAACTGGAGATTGTCCCCACCCCCGCCAAAGTGTGAGAAAGTAAAACTGATAGATTTGTCTAATTACACAGAGAATTCTTAGCATTTTATTTCGTAACTGAAAAATTGGACCCTCAAAATGCAAATGATTATCATTGTACTGAAGCGGATGAAGAATTCAACTTGACCTGGGACACCAAAGTCCAAGTCCCCATTCAACTATGGAGCACACCTGGGTGACTTTGGGCCAATTCATAACTCTGTTTTAGGATTATTGTTGTGGGATTAAAATAGACATCCCTGTGAAAATGGCCTTGAGCTCCAAAAGGAAAGGCAGAATATAAATGTAATGACAATAACAATGAAGGGAAAGAAATACGAGCACACTACGGATGCAAATATCAATGTACTATTAGTGAAGTTCTTTTCCATAAGACAATGCAGCCATGGAGAACTTATTGAAACCCTAGAGGTTTTTTTTTAAATTGGTCGTATTTGATTTTTTAGGTGAGTGAAGCCAATCCAGAGGACTTAAATATGACCCCCCGCCTCTTTCTACAGTGTCTTGGTTTGCTACCATATTTCAGCAGGGCAATCAACTGGGGCCCAAAAGAAGCAAGTTTGGGGGGCCACATATGGCGGTTTGCTTAGAACCTTAGTTGCAAAATTGCTAGCCATGGTACTGAACGTCAGTCAGGAACCTCCAGACCAATACCTGTAGTGCTGTCCAAGGTCCTGAAACAATGTGTTCTAGACCTGCCTCACAGCTTTCATTTTTTACATCCTTTGCCTTGTGGGCATCACCAAATCCTATAGGAGATGGTTGGTCAATAGGCCACATACAACCTATAAGACCTACCTCTCATTCTATGGTTCTTGGTCAGGAAATCAAGAAAACCTTTATTCATCTCTGTAAGGAATGCAGTGGATATTTGGGGCTGGGCATAATGATATGAAAGAAGGAGAAAAACTCCCCTTTTCATAGCCTTGGTGGCAAATCGTAAAGATAGCAATGATACGGGGACATTTGGGGCAAAATAAGAAATACATGATATTAAGCA